ATTCTTTCTTCTGGATTGAACGGTTCTTTAGAATTGATAAATAAATTTTAGAGCCTAACAAATCTAAACTTCTACTTGGATACTTTGAAAGGGTCAGAGAGCTAACTCACAACCTCCTAATGTTGTTTTTCTCATCACCTTTTTATTTATCCTTTGGCAAGTTATATATCTTTCAGTCACTTGCCTTGTTACTCAAAAAAAAAATCCCAATGCATCCATATCTCCTTTGTGTGTTACATATTCCAGTGCTCATTTAGAGCATATAATTCACAAGTTTGAGTTTACCAGTTTAAGGTAAATTTCCCTTTTTAAATAGTTTGCATGTTTTTCTCATCAACTACGGCATACCCTATATTTTCTCTTTGTTCAGGGATTTGTATCTCTGTTAGCTAGCATAACCCCCTCCAAGGGCTGCCTTGGGGTATCTCGGCTGGTATCCTTTTACTCCCTTTTTCTTTTTTTACTGGTTTTCTGCCCCATTTTTCAAGATCTCATCTATTCATCTCATGCCTCTGTTTCCCACTTTCTTTAACAACCTGAATACCACATTGGTTTTTTTCAACTACACAAAAAGTCCTTTCTCTCACCATACCATCCAACACAATCCACCTCCCTCCAAGGAGGTAAAGCTCAAAATAAACAATCTGCATTACATATCTTCCACTCATTTGCATTTACTCAAATTTATTTTCCACTCACTCTCGCACACACTTTTACACCCTCAGGCCTGTTCATTCATACTTCTACATTTCCCTTTATTTTATTGCACAGAGTAAGGAAACATTAGCAAACCTCTTAGATTTACACAAAGGGATTTCTGTTGCCAGAGAAGCCTGGATCGTGTAAGCCCCCACCCTGACCCCTTCCACCTCCCTGAGGTTTGGCTATCCCTCTTCCCCAGAGATAGCCTCAGAGTCAGGGGTTCGGACCTCCATACCTTTCCCGGATCTGGACTCCCCGCTCCCCCCACTGGGAGAATGGGTAACACGAGTACCCTGCACAGCCACTGTGCTAAAAGGTCCTACGATACTGAGCCATCCTTGCTTTGGGGGGCAGCCTCTCTGGGCTCCGCCAGGCCTCCGGGAAGTGCCCTGAATTTGGTTGCCTCTGGTGCCAGTTCACCTTTGAGGCTGGCTGTGTGTGATTCACACTTTGCAGTTACAGCTTCCCTCTCACACCCAGGGGAACAAGGCTTGTTTTGCGGGTTTTGCCTCAGCCACCACTTGCAGTGGAAACGGCTTATTGGTGCGGGACCCACTCTCACATACCCAACAAGACAATAAGGTACCTTTCAATTCACCTAATTACACTTCAAGGTGTTACTGGCTAGTGCTGGTGTTCTTAGATATCCCTCAATCTAGCTGTGTTGTCCAAAGCAGAATTTTTAGGGGACCCTCCCACACATTTTACCTTTTTCTTTTTTTCTTTTTTTTTTTTTTTTTTTTTTTTTTTTTTTTTTTTTTTTTTTTTTTTTTTTTTTTTTTCCCACCAATTGATTATGTCAGGAAAACCCTCTTTTTACCTTTTATTTTCCCCTCCACCCCAATGGATCCAACTCCGTCCCAGAGACCCAGTCCCAGTTTCCCCCGGGGGAATTCTCTCAGTCATTTTTATCATTCACTTCTTCTCTTTACTGGCCATTTTTCTCACGAAAAAGATGGAAACGCAGCATGGGAGACCACACTCTTGCTTGGCAAGTCTGGGATAACCAGCATTCTCTCGGGCACACGCATTCATATCCCCCCCTTATCCACCCCATCCCAACAAATACCTATCCTTTGTCCTTGGGTCTTTGTTCTTCTTGAACACTTTAGTCTTAGGGGCTAATTACCACTGTTTTAGGGAAGCCTTTCCCTTTTCTTTGTTTTATTGTCTCCTTTTGCCCATGGATCATAACCTGTGTCTGTGGGTCACACCAGGGGAACAAAGTGAGGCTGCCTGACAGGGCAGGACGCATCTTCCTCACCCTGACTTTCCTAAGGCACCGACAGAGAGGTGTTAGCAACCATCCTCTGCTACCATAATTGTGAAAAACACCAATCACTTGGTTTTTGAAATTTTTAAAGTTTAATAACAATAAAATGGGTATAAAAATAGTAATACAATTAGAGTAATAAAATTTAGAGTTAGGACAATTACAGGACAAAAAACAAAGAATTATGGACGTCCGGGTGCTCTCAGACACTAAGTCATGAAAAGCATGCCTTGTGAACAAAGGGATCACCCTTAAAACAATACATTGTTACATATTCATATATCCTTCATGGTTATGCATACATTCTGTTTAAAACGAGAAACTCTGTCTGTTGTATGTCAACTTTTTTCTTTTAATCCCCACAGCATCTTCGAGTCTGAGCAAGGCCTGAAGAAATTAGCTTCTTCTGATAAGAAAACAATAAATTCTTCTTCTCTGGAAGATTTGGGTGTTCCTTGAAGCAAGTATCTCATTCCTAAAAAACTCTTCATATACACAGTTGCTATTTTTAACATCATGTTGTAACCTAAAACTATATTTAACACTACTTAAGAGAATTTCTTTCTAACATTACACATATAATATTCATTGTAACATTTGCAAAAAGCCAATCATAAAATATGCATTTTTCACACTATTAAACTTTTAAAATTTTAACACAAGTGATTGGAGCTTTTCACAGGGAGGAAAAGAGATTTTGGGGTTGAAAAAAGGAGGATTTGGGATTAAAAAAGGAGGATTAAGGATGAAAAAGAAGGATTTGGGGTAAAATAAAAAGAGGATTTGGGCCAAGCTGAATTTACCTGGGGGAGTGTGACTGTGCAGGGGGTTTAGGGTAGGGTCAGGACCATTTTTGGGGCAGTTTTCTGGCATTTTGGGGTAGTTTTATGGAATTTGGGGGCAGTTCTATGGGATATGGGGAGATTTCTTATGAGATTTTGGGTGATTTGGAGGGGTTTGGAAGGATTTCAGGGTGTTTCTATGAGATTTTGGATTGGTTTGGAGGGATTTGGGGTGTTTTTGTGCAGTTTTTTGGTATTTAGGGGCACGTTTCATGTGTTTTTTCGGGACTTTGGGTTATTTTAGTCCCAGGTTGTTTTGTGGTTTAAGGATATTTTGGTGGGGTTTGGGGTGTTTTGGGTCACTTTTTGGCAAAGGAGATCTCCATGGCATTGCTCTGGGTGATCCCTGAAATGAACAGGGTCTATACCTTTATTAGTGTTCAGCTCTTTATTAAAAAGTCAGCTCGGCAGGGGGCTGTTGTAGCTTTTCCAGTAGCCGAAGGGTGAGAAGGCGTGCAGAGTCTGTCCCTGGAGTCTCCATGGCACACTAAGGTGAAGAGGTGTCCAGTCTGTATCTGAAGTCCCCATCAGCAGACCATCCTCTCTCCTTTCCTCCTGGCACCCTGGTAGCCGAAGGGTGGGGGGATGTGCAGAGCCTGCTGCCGAGGTCCAGCAGCAGCTCTCCCCTCTCCTTCCCTCCTGGTAACACCAGGAAGAGTTGTTCCTTTGTTCCTGCTTCCCACAGCCCAGTCCAGTCTGGTCCTCTGCAGGTTATGGTTGTTGTAAATGAAAATTTGTCCAGCCAAATTAATATGAAAAAATAAAATATTTATTTTGCAATCAAATTTTATCAAGCCAGCCACAAGGAAAGAACAGTGCCACAAGGAGTCAGCCTCAGCAGAGGTTTTGGATCCTAATTCTCCCAATCTTCTTCCAACTCCTGCTCACCCTGGCAGCTGTGAAATCAAGTAAATTTCCCACTTCAAGTAAGTGGGATAGAGTGTTTTTGAGGTGGGAACAAGTGATTTAGAGATGGGATTGAGCCCTTAGGGGTTAAAATTCAGTTGCTTTCACTGAGATTGAGTTGTTTTGAGGAGACAGATCAATCCCTCTTGGCCTTTAGAGAAGAGGGAACAGTGCCTAAAATCCCCCCAGAACCCACAAATCCTCCAGAATCTGTCCCCAGACCTTCAATTCCCTCTCAAACACCTGTGAAATGGTGGGAATTTAGACATCTTTGTTCAATTTATTGCTTTTTAACCCTGTTTTGGCTCTTTTTATGGGATGAAGATGAATTACAAGAAAATTAAGGCCAAACGAAAGGATAAGCATCAGCATCCAGCTATCTTTCCAACATGGATCACAGAAAATTTGGGTCACCACATCTCTTCCCAATGTGGGTTCTCCAGTGGAGGATGGGGTTACAGCAGCATACAAAGCTCTTCCCGCAGTTGGGGCACTGATAGGATTTCCCTTACCGGTGGCTCCATTTGGTGTTGGGTCAAGTGAGAGCTGTTGGAAAAGCTCTTTCCACACTGAGAACACTCGTGGGGCCTCTCCCCAGAGTGAATGCGCCAGTGCCTGATGAGGCTGGAGTTGCGCTTGAATCCCTTCCCGCAGTCGGGGCAGCGGAAGGGCTTCTCCTCCATGTGAATCTGCTGATGCTCAAGGAGATGGGAGGTAATCGGAAATCTCTTCCCACACTCACAACACTCTTAAGGTCTCTCCCCAGTGTGGATCTTTTGGTGGATGATCAACTTGGAACGCAGACTGAAGCTCTTCCCACATTCCCTACACTTGTTTGGCCGTTCCCCAGTGTGGGTCCTCTGGTGCTGGATCAGGATGGGCTTCCGACTGAAGCCCTTCCCACATTGCCCACACTTATAGGGCCGTTCCCCAGTGTGGATCAACTGGTGCCTGATCAGGGTGGAGCTCCGTGTGAAGCTCGTCCCACACTGCCCACACTTGTAGGGTTTCTCCCCAGTGTGGATTTTACGGTGCTGGATGAGGGTGGAGTTGTCCTTGAATCCCTTCCCGCAGTTGGGGCAGCAGAAAGGCCTCTCTTCTGCGTGAATCCGATAGTGCAGGAGGAGATTGGAGCGGGTCTGAAATCTCTTCTTGCATTTATCACACTCATAGGGCCTCTCTCCAGTGTGAATCTTTTGGTGGACGATCAGGGCA